CACACTCACACACATAATCATACACTCACAATATGTACACCCACACACACAAATATACACATACACTCATACACATTCACATATACTCTATATACCACACATACACATACGCTACACAAATAATCACACATATACACATATGCTCACATACATACATTCATACACTTACCACATACTCATATACACACACTCACCAACACTCCCAAGGTACACACTCACTCACACACACACACACACATTCCTCCACACTCCTCCACACACAGGTGTCTCTGTGTGAGCAGCCACATTCACACGTACGTGTCAGAAAGTTTGTCTTACTTCCTTTCCTGTTTGCACATTTGGACATGTCCACCACTCCAAGCCAAGAGTTTCAAGTCAATGATTTTTCTGTGAAAAATCTTCTGGAAGCCATCCACGGAGCCTTAGAAATTCAGTTTCTGGTGGAACATGCCTAGCATTCAGAGCTGATCCAGAGCTGCTCTTGAGAGGTGGGGCAGGTGTCCCTGCATCCTTGGGCCTGGGCCAGTCGCAGAGATGAATAAATCACCAGGTTACCAAGGAGGCCAGAGCTAGACTCCAGAGCTAAAAAAGGCTAAAGTCATCTGCTCCAAATTCAAAGACCTTTTCATTCTGTTCAACTGAATCTAAAAGGCATTTTATCAAGTGCTTACTATGAATGAATGAATGAAGTATTGGGGATACTGATCCAAAAAGCAAAGACAGTCCCTACCCTCAGGTAGCTTACATTCTAATACAAAGAGACAACACATGGGGACTGGGGTTGGGGGGCTTTAGTTTAGAAAGTTACACAGATGTTGAGTGGGGCAGGCACTGTGCTAAGCTGTCAAGTCAACAAGCATTTAAGTGCCTACAATAACCTGATTTGCAAGGGGCTGTGTTGAGTGATGGGATACAAAAATAAGGGAAGGAAAAAACCAATCCCTACTCTCCCAGAGCTCAAGGTTTATCTAAAGGGAAGACAACATGCAAATAACTATGGAAACAAGATATTTTCCAAGTCAACAAGCATTTATTAAGCGCCTACTATGTACCAACCGCTGTATGACGTGCTAGGGATACCAGGAAAGGCATTTCCTCCCTAATTGACTTTTGGATGGTCAGAACTGGCCCAAATGGATGCTCTGCTCTTTCCCTCAGGCTTAGGAGTGCTGAACAGCTCCCCCTCCCCCACATATACATTGTCCCGTTCCACTATGTTGCCCCTCTCCCTCTGTTCCATTATGTCTTGGACCTGTGCCAGCAGTTTGGAGCTTTGCAGCTCTAATGCTACAGGGTTGTGGGCCCTGGGCAGGGATTGTTGGCCTGGCTCCAACACTGCTGGTGCTACAGAGTTGTCTGTCCAGGCATTTGCAGCTCAGAACTTTGCGGTATTGGTGCTGAACCCTGCCAAGCTTTTGCTCCTGAGGGGCTTTCACAGTCAGGACAAACTTCCACAGCCTGGAGCCAGGGTCTCCATGGTGCTACATAGAGGGAGGGAGGACCAGAATGGGGTGGTGTCTTTTGTTGCAAGCCTGTGCCATGTCCTTGGGGATGCCAATGCAACCTCTATGCTGATAGTGTGGGAGGTGGGAGAGCAGTGCTGAGGGAGCTCAGTGTAAGTGAGCCTCAGTTTGTGGTTTTTCTTTTTAAAAAAACCTTTTCAATTCTAGGTTTCCTAGGCCATAGAGATGCTGAAGTTGCTTTATCTTTGGAGTACAATTTCTGTTTTGGAGAGGTCTGAGAGGTCATGGGGATCAGAGAAAATGTCTAGTACACCATTTTGCTGCTCATATGATCTGAATGGCATCTCTTAAATTAAAAAAAAGAAACTTTTGACTGCTTGTTAGCTAGTTCATGCTAACTAACAGAAACTCTCCCCCAACTTCTCCTGGCTAGCTCTGGACCAGTGTGCCCTAGGCACCCATCAGTGTGAACACGTTTGTGTAAGCGATGGAGATGGTGCCCATCACTGTGAATGCAGCCAAGGATACACCTTGAACGAAGACAAGAAAACTTGCTCAGGTAAGATTTCGGTGTGACTGCCCATTAGCAGGAGAGAAAAGAGAGGCCACTGCTCCTGGCACATTTTCATGGATCCCAGTTGGCTACATCACAGCCAGGCCTGCCCCCAGCAGCACTGAGGGAATCCTGGGAAATGCTATTGGCTGAGGCTGGGAATAATCCAGCCCATCCCAGGTCTAGGACACAGAACATCAGTGAAGAGAGGGACCTTGAACAGACAATTGAGAACTGGGAGGGACCTTCAAACATAGAACAGAGGTTACAACTGGAAGGGGGGGACCAAGCACTTATTAAACACCTGCTGTGTGCCAGGTACTGGGCTAAGTACATTATAAATACCACTCTCAAACCTCACAACAAGCCTGGGAGGCAGGTGCTATTATGATCCATTTTGTAGTTGAGAACACTGGGGGAAACAGAAGTTAAGTGACTTGCCCAGGGTCACTCAACTAGTAAATGTTTAAGTCCAGATTTGAACTCAGGGCTTCCTGGCTCCAGGCTCTATCCACTGTGACACCTGGCTGCCTCTAAGCAGCAGATGGGCCTTAGACCTTAGCACCTAGAACGGCATATCCTGGAAGCACTTTGGAGATCATCCTGCCCACCCCTCTCTGAGATGGGAGGATGGGTAGGGTATTCTTCTGTTCACACTGTGCTGTGACCTTATTGGCTGCCTACTGATCTGTGTGCCTACATGGCATCTTTTGGCAGCTATTGATAAGTGTGCCCTAAACACCCATGGATGTGAGCACATTTGTGTGAGTGACCGGGCGGGTGTCTACCACTGTGAGTGCTATGAAGGTTACATCCTGAATGAAGATAAGAAAACCTGTTCAGGTAAGGGTCAGGGTGGCAGCCTGGCACCTGCTCAAACTCCATAAGGTGCCTGGGGGGATGGCTCTGGGGGGATGGCTCTGGGGAAGCTTTGGCCATCTCTCTTCACCCTCAGGTTGGGTTTCTCCCCCATGTATTTAAACAATGAGTAAAATGACCTCATGCTGGCAGGGGGCATGGAGATGCCTGTGTTGTCTCTGGGGTCAGGCCTGGCCTCTGTGCGTGTAAACATTCTCCTGAGTTCACTTACCTGTGATTGTCTTGGCCCTTCTCCAGGGCCAGTGTGGAAGGGGCCCTGGCAGGTATAGAGTAGGACACCTCAGCTGGGCCTCCACTCTGCCCTGACCACCTGAGTGGCCACGTATCCTCTCAGGGCCTCATCAATGATGGTGTAGCATAGTTGCCTACCTCCCTCACAGGGTTATGGGGAGGGAAGTACGTCATGACGAGGACAGCTGTCTTACACATGTGTGAGTGAGAGCTGTCCCTTGATAGTGTCTAGACTACAAGAGGAAACAGTCCCAGAGGACATGGTAGCCAGGCTTGGAGACTCGTGGAGAAGGTTCCCAGAGACCTTCCCCAGAGGTTGTAGCCCCCCGCCTCAGTGACACTCCAGCTCAAGGTCGGGGTGTCTGCTTTTATTTGTCTGCTTACTGCTACACCTTTCAGCTGGGCTTTCCCAGCCTCACAGCCATCTGGCCTGCCCACCTTGGGGCAGGGAAGATTTCCAAACATTCCAGCACATCTGGGCGAGAGAGTTGGGGTCAGGATCCAGCTTCCTCAGGAAGGCTGGGGATGTGTCCATGAGGACAGGTCTCCCAACTGCACCTCACCGTCCTCCTGAAAATCCTCTTTGCTGGTGTTTCTGTGGGGCCTCTGAAGCTGCAAAGCCACAATGTCATTGGGGCCTCAGCACAGCCATGTTGAGGTGGACAGTGCAGAAGCCAGTGGCCCATTTTGTAGGGAGGACACTGAGGCTCCTAGAGATGAAGGGACTTGCTCAGGGTCACGCAGTTAGACCATGTCAGGTGGGATTTGAGCCCAGGTCTTCCTGACTCCAACCCCGGCATGCTATTTGATAGACCATGCTGGGTCTTGGGCTGCTTAGGTGGAGGGTCCTTGGCAGCCAGTGTCAGAGGTCTTGTGACTAGGAGAATAATCAGCATGGACAAAGCATCAGGTCCTTGGGGGAGAAAGCGCCAGGCTTTGAATGTTGCCCTGAATGTCTGGAAAGGGCCCTGGGAAAAGCAGCCCCAGTGGGCTGTGCTTAGGGGGCTTTTCCCTGCCTGTCTGTGCCCAGAGCCAATGGTCCTAGTGGCCTGCTTGGACCCCAGTGGCCTTCTTCCTTTACCCAGGCCCAGGGCAGGGTCTTCCATCTGGGCTGTAACCTGCGCAGTTCAGCTTTGTTCTTGTTTCTCTTCCCTACCCTGGCCCCTCCATTTGGCAGCTCAGGACAAGTGTGCCCTCGGTACACATGAGTGTGAGCACATCTGTGTGAGTGACAGGGCTGGAGCCCACCACTGTGAGTGCTATGAAGGTTACGTCTTGAATCAGGATAAGAAGACGTGTTCTGGTAAGAACCCCTTGGCGACTTCCGTCCCTGAGCTTTTCACTGAGGGTCCCTCAGTTGGGCTGAAGCAGCTTTGTTAAGCACCTACTGTGTGCCAGGTGCTGGGCTAAGCACTCGGGATACAGAATGAAAGGCTGGTGAGGGCCCACAGGCTCAGCCTACACCATAGAGCAGCTCAGGACGGGCTTGACTCTGGGCTCCAGGAGAACCCCTCAGTGGGGACAGCGGTGGATGCCCGGAGCTCCAGGAGAACCCTGCAGTGGGGACTTAGGCACAGCAGCTGGAGAAGCATTCCATAGGAGATGGGCCAGAGCGTCCACCTCTGGCAGAATTCTTCAGGGGTTTAGAAAGTTGAGGGAGACTTAGCTCAAGAGCCTTCCCGGGATGGTGGGGCTCCCCTGTGGGCAGAGTTGCTGGTAGACCGGCCTGGGAAGCACAGCGGGGCAGCCCCTTAGGCTTGGATGGATGTCATCACCTCTCCCTTGTTACCGACTCAGAGAATAGTGGGACCTCAGTCATCATGGCGTCCACCTTCTCATTTACAGCAAATACTCTGCGGCCCAGAGTAGAGAAGGAACACAGTCAGGGGCTAGGACCAGAATGCAGGCCTCCGCTCTTACTCTCCTCTGTTCCACAGCTTTTGCATTCTCTCTTTTCCTGAGGGGGCAGCAGAATGGCCAGAGATCACTTCTCAATTCTCCTCTGGTCCTAACATTCCTCATTTGCCAATTGCTCTACTGAAGCTGTGATCATGTGGGTGGGTATGGGCATTTCCTCCACTGGTGCTGATTGCAGCCCACTCCTCTGTGCCACCCTTGGCCTCCCCAAAGGCCTCCTCAGAGAATCTGCCTCAAGTCTGGGAGGCCTTTCTGTGGCTCCTAAAGTTACTTGGGACCAGAGTAGCCCTCGAGCAATCTTTCTGTATCTCTCACTCACCACATGACCACATCCACTTTTTTTTCTGGAAAAAGAAGAAAGAAAAAAATGAAAGCCAGGACTGTTGGACACCCATTTATTGAGCAAGTACCATGTGCCCAGACTGTGCTTGGCAAAGGCACCAAAGAGGGGAAAAGCTGGTCTCTGTGCTCCAAAGTTCAGCCTGGAGCTAGGGAGGTGACAGGAGAAGAGAAAGAGCATTGGCCTTGGGGGCCAGTCACCCCAGGTGTGAGTCCTGGCTCTGGGACTTGTTGGGGGTATGATTTGGGTCAAGTGCCTTTATTTCTCCCGGCCTCTGTTTCTGAACCTGTAAAATGGGGGAGCTGAACTGGACGACTGACTTCTAAGGTTGAGTGTGTGTGTGTGTGTGTGTGAGTGTGTGTATATGAGTGTGAGTGTGTATGAGTGTGTGAGAGTGTGTATGAGTGCATGAGTGTGTGTGAGTGTGTATGAGTGTGTGTGTGTGTGTCCTGCAGCTGCTCAGGGGAAGGCCCATCTTTACACTAGAAACTCACCAGACTGACATTCTGTTGCTGTGTGGTTTTTCCTTTGTGTTTTATCTGCACGTGTTTCCCTCCCTCTCCTGCACCCCCATGCTTCCCCCGGCAGCTCAGAATCAGTGTGCTCTGGGCACCCACCGCTGTCAGCACCTCTGCGTGAGTGATGGGCCTGGGGCTTACCACTGTGAGTGCCGCCCAGGGTACAACTTGAACGAAGACGGGAGATCGTGTGCAGGTGAGGCCTGGAGCTGGGGGGAGCAGGAAGGCCCAGCAAGGAGCAGTCCTTCCTTTTCTTTTTTTTTTTTTTTTTAGGCAATTGGGGTTAAGTGACTTGCTCAGGGTCACAAGGCTAGTAAGTGTCAAGTGTTTGGTCTGAGGCCGGATTTGAACTCAGGTCCTCCTGAATCCAGGGCCAGTGCTCTATCTACTGTGCCACCTAGCTGCCCCTTGTCAATAGATTTTTAAAGCCCCTTCCTAAAAATGAGACCACAGGCTCCCAGGTTTCCCAAGTCCTGATTGTTCTAAGGCTGCGCTCAATGTCCTTGTCTGCAGCCATTGAAGAAGCCCAGAGACTCATCTCGACTGAAGACGTCTGTGGCTGTGAAGCCACACTGGCCTTCCAGGAGAAGGTCACCTCCCACCTCCAGAGACTTTCAGCCAAGCATATCCTTTTCATCACCTTCTTGATCATTCCCGCGTGCCTTCCATGGGGATTCACATGCTGCCGTCGAGCCAGCCACTCAATTGGTCAATCAGTCAATTGTCTGATTAACAAGCATTTATTAAGCACCTACTCCGTGCCAGGCACTGTGGGAGGTGCACGCCTATTCTGTGCCAAGCACTGTGCTGGGTGCTAGAAATAGAAGGACAAAAGTGATTTTACTTTTCCCTCCCCTCCAGGAGCTAGCTGGGGGAAGGGCAAGTGTTCAGATATGACCGACAGAGATGAAAAGGTCATTTGGTGGTGACAGAGGAGGAGGAGGAAAGGCCAGACACTGGAGGATCCAGAAAGGTTCGTATAGAAGCTGGCACTAAGTCTTGAAGGAAACTTGGTCCTCTACGAGGCAGGGGAGGCAGGAGGACGGGCCAGGAATGGAGGAATGGAAGTTCCCTGAGGGCAGGACCTGTTTGTCTTTTTTGTCTAGTATAGCGCCTGCTTGCTGGCTGCCTGATTGCAGGCAGGATGCAGCGCCGGCAGATGGGAGATGGCACATAGTGAATGGGGAGCTAGCAGAAGGCTAGTCTGGCTGGCCCCTAGCGAGTGGGAAGGGAAGTGACGTGCCATCAGGCTGGACGGGCAGGAGGCTGGTGCCAGGCTGTGAAGGCCAAACAAAGGAGTTTCATTTATTCATTTGATCAGCATTTCCTGGGACCTCTTTGTGTTCTGGATACCATGGACACACAATGACAAACACACATAAGACAGCCCCTGCCCTGGAGGAGTTTGCATCCTTTGGGAGTTAAACAGTCTGCACCCCAAAGTCATGTTCCAGAGGGAGGGCACTTGTGGCTGGGGAGGGGCATGGGGACAGGCTAACTGCTGGAGGGAGCCACGGACCCTCCAAGGAGAGGGAGGAGAGAGTTTTCTGTTCCTTGTAGAGATTCCATAGGGCCACCACTAGTGTGCTCCAAAGTTCTTAGCACAGAGGGTGGTGACACAGATTGAGTGGGTTTCTCCTGACTGCTGGCCTTCTGGCAGCCCAGCTCATTTCATATTCCTGTGCAGGTGATGCATGAATACTAGTCTCCGAGGAAGTCTACAGCACCTTGAGCACTTACCTTACCAAGGCCCCCAGTGTGGGGCAATAGACCCCAGTGGGGCTGGGTTTGGAGTCAGAAGAGTTGGTTGGCCCCTGGGTCTGCCTGTCACTGGGCAAATCATGTCTGCTCTCTGGCCCTCAGTTTTCACATCTGTAACATGAGAGTATTGGATCATTATGGCCTCTGAAGTACCTTCTAGGTACCAATGGTCCTCTGCTCCTAGGAATGCTTACCTCCCAGGAGAATGGGTTCTCTTTCCATTCATTTGTGGTTCTTGTTCAGGAGGAAGCTCTCAGTTACTCAGTAGGGATTGCATGCCCAGCCATGGCACTGATGGCACTTGGCACCTCTAGTCACAGTGTGTCCAGAAAGCCCACTCCAAGTTTGTTTCTGAGCACCACAGACGTTTCCCCAAACACCCAGCTTAGCCCTTGCTCCACAGCCCACCCTTAGGAGAAACCCAAGATTTTGAGCACTGCAAGTATCCTGACACAAGGGACGGGATGACGGTGCTGTAGATTTTATTGTCTTTTTTTTTTTCTTTTTCCACTCTAGCCTCAGGAGAGTTTAATAGAAAGTCGAGATGAGAGATGAACATGGAATCTGAGGCTTCCTGAAGGACAAAAAGTCCCTCTGGTTTCATAATCTCGATTATCTCTCAAGACCCGTGGGGTCCGGCTTTCTCCTTCTGGAAGGCTGTGCTAGGCATCTCCTCCTCCAGCTAGAGGGAGTTTGGCTTTGACATCAGGGCATGTGTCCGAGCCGGGCGGGCTGGCCATGCAGAGGTGACAGCCTGTACCCCCGTTTCCCTGCATTCCTCTACTGAAAGGCGCTCTTCAAGTGTCAGGTCGTAAAAATAACAGTGGCTTTCCAGTGTGGTTTGTCAAGGCAGACTTGGGTTACCAAACGATGGGGAAAATGTGATAATAAATTCAACTTTTCCAAAGCTCTTGCCATAAATGATGTTAACCTTAACAAGGAGTCACTTGACGACATCTTGGAGAAGTTACAAGTCAATGATTTGAGACAGGTCCGCCGTTAGAGCTGCCATCCTTGCCCCATCAGGAGTCCGACAGCGTGCCCACAGGGCGGATGGGGCCCTGGTCACCATCATGCCAGCCGCTGCTTTCCCAGCCACCAAAAACATCACTGAGTAAAGAGCAAGAGGAATTTCCAGAGACTAATATTTTTTTTTCCCTTCAAGCAAAAAGCAGCCCATGGAGAATAACTGGGAGCTTACTGTCTAACACCTCTGCTTTTAGAACGGCAAGGTGCCCACATGCTTCCCAATTTCACCCAAGCTGGGGGCAAGCTCCCTTCCCATTCCTCGAGAATTAGGTCGCTGAGTCCTTCAAAAGAAACAAATGTTTCCCTCTCCCAGAACTGCATCTCTCTATCAGAACGGTGAAAAGGCTGCAAAAAAGTGCAATGAGATGGTTCCCTCTACAGATTCCAGCGATTAATTGAGACATTCAGTTCTGGAATGACTACATGCTTATACCATAAGATAAAAAAGACAGTGGCCACATTAACATGGGAAACTTTTCATCCCTTTTGATAGTATGTATCCTATTCACTTATCTTATTAAAGTGTTTCTTTTTTAAGTCTGTGTCTACATTTGAATGGCAACTTTATCCAGATAAATTAGGGCACTGCTGAGCTCACAATTTGGGCTTTCGCTTTGTCTGTTACTGTAATAATCTGGGGTTGTACTCAGTCTGGCGATAAACACACAGATGATTCTCCTTGTGCACCAAGGTCACTCTCGTGGTCTGTGAGGCCCCCTACCTGTACCACAAGGTTCCCCAAGGCCTGTTCAGCTGTGATGTGGGGCTCTCCAACCTTGGATCAAAAAAAATCTAATCATAAACTCCTTGGATAGAAATTTTAGATATTAGCATAACATTGAAGCTCTGTTTCAAACATTTTTGTAATTTAATAACCAAACATGATTTTAAAAAGAAATCTCTTATGCTAGGATTTTATTAATATAAGTTGGCTTGAATGTATTTTTACGACCACGTCTTTTGCATATGGAATACTGTAAACTATTCCGGATCATTTTTAGTCATGTTGTATGAGTTGGTCTGTGCTATATTTAAAGTTGGATTCTCACCTAAGCTTATATGACCTCTAAAAGAATAAACATATTACTCACCTGAGACACGGATGTCATTTCTGCTTTCTCACGATGCCTAGTACTGCCATTAAAAGGCTAGTGGATTGAGGATTCTCAGAGAACCAGGCTGGATTCTCTGTATAAAGTCATTAGGTGTGGGGGCAGGGCAGGGGCATCCTGCCCTCTCCATGGCGCCTCCCACCCCACCTGGCTCTAGGCCAAAGCAGACCAAGTCCAGTCCTGGAGGAGCCTGACCCTAAAGAGAGGGGAACCAGGCTCTCCTCAAACTCTCTGGATCATTATGCTTCAACCTGAGCCCAGTGGATATTCCATGGCTCTTTTTTCCTCTACCACACAATGGACACATACATGTGCGCTGGAAAATACTTACAATGTGATGCAGCAAGTCATAACTCCTGTGATACTCCAAGCAATCAATCAACATTTATTAAGCACCTACTATGTGCCAGGCTCTGTGCTAAGTGCTGGGAATCCAAAAAAAAAAAAAAAAAGGCAAGAGACAGTCCTTGTCCTCAAGGAGCTTACAGTCTAATGAGAGAGACCACATGTAAACAAATAAGTACACACAAGCTACGCGGAGAAGAAATAGGACATCATGAACAGAGGGAAGGCACTGGAATGAAGAAGGGCTGGGGAAGGCTTCCTGGAGGAGGTGGGATTTTACCTGGGACTTAACCAAAGCCAAGGAAGTCAGGAAGTAGAGTTGAGGAGGGTGAGCATTCCAGATCTTGTTCATGGGACAGCCAGGAGGCTGGTGTCACAGGATTGAAGAGGACATGTTGGGAAGTGAGGTGTAAGGAGACTGGAGAGGGAGGAGGGGGCAGGTTAGAAAGGGCCTTGAATGCCAAACACAGCATTTTGTATTTGCTTCCTGGGGCCAACAGGGAGCCTCTGGAGTTTATTGATTAGGAAGAGACATGGTCAAACCTGTGCTTTAGGAAAGTCACTCTAGTGGCTGAGTGGAGGATGGACTGGGGTGGGGAGAGACCAGAGGCATCAGATGACCCCCCCCCCCCCAGCAGCTACTGCACCAGACCACCAGTAATGTGATGAGGGTCTGCATCAGGGGCAGGGGCAGAGGCCAGGAGGGGGAGGAGGGGAAATTAGCAGGCCTTGGCAGCAGCTTGGTTATGGGGGGCACCCAGGATGACTCCTGGGTTGGGAGCTGGGGGGCCAGGGGGACAATGGTGCCCTCTTGGTTGGTTATTGTCCTTGGCTCTCGAGGAGGACCTAAATGGCATCATCAGGGTATACTGTGTCCGACCCTGGCTGATCAGCCCAATGTGAGCTGAGAAGGCTCGACCCCGGGTCAGCACAAATAGTGCACGTGCGGCTCTGCAGTGTAGAAGTCTCTAAAGTGGCGCATCTCCCATTTCGTTTGAGCTATTGCCATTCTGCTTTGCTCACAGAACACAGCACCTTCTCTGATGAGGGCACGTCACACTGGGTGGTCCTGTGCCAGCTTTTCTCCTGTGTCAATTCAAAGTCCTTCAGATAGACTTGGAGAGTGTCCTTGTATCACTTCTTCTGACCTCCACGTGAGAGCCTTCCTTGCACGAGTTCTCTGTAAAATAGTCTTTTAGGCAAACTAGGCATTTGGCATTTGAACATCATGGCCAGCCCATCAGAACTGTGCTCTCTGAAGCAGAGTCTGAATGCTTGGCAGTGTCGTTTGAGAAGGCACTCAGTGTCTGCTACCTTACCCTGCCAGGTGATCTTCAGAATCTTCCTAAGACAGTTCAAAGGGAAGTGGTTCAGTTTCCTGGCCTGGCACTGGGAGGCTGTCCAGATTTCACAGTGAGGTCAGCACAAGGGCTCCATAGATCTTCAGTTTGGTAGTCAGTTTAATACCTCTTCTCTCCCACACTTTCCTATGGAGCCTCCCAAACACTGAGCTAGCTCTGGCAATGCGTGCCTTAACCTCATTATCAACGTGGACATCCCTGGAAAGTACACTGCCCAGGCAAGTGACCTTACCCACAGCATTCAAACTTCTCCATTGTCTGTGACCTATGGTTCCACTTATGTCTGAGAGTTGTGGTGCTGGCTGGTGGAGCACCTGTGTTTTCTTGTGGACAATTGTCAGGCCAAAATTAGCACAAGCAGCAGAGAACCCATCGACGCTTTTTTGCCTCTCAGCTTCGGAGGCTGCATTGTGCACATACCAGTAATAAGAAAGGTAAGAGAGGACTAAGGTTGAGGAGAAAGATTATGAGCTCAGTTTTGGTTGAGTTTAAGACATCTGCTGGCCGTCCAGTTGGAGATGTCTGAAAGGCTCTTGGAGATGCAAGACTGGAGGTCAGCAGAGAGTCTAGGACAGGATTTGTGAATCAGCAGCGTTTCTGTTGTGTTGTTCAGTTGTTTTCAGGCATGTCCAACTCTTTGTGACCCTTTTGGGTTTTTCTTGGCAAAGATACTGGAGGGGTTTGCATTTCCTTCTCCAGCTCATTTTATAGAGGAGGAAACTGAGGCACACAGGGTTAAATGACTTGCCCAGGGTCACATAGCTAGTCAGTGTCTGGGTTTGAACTCAAGAAGATGAGTCTTCCTGACTTTAGACCCAGCATTCTAGCCACTGCACCCCCCAGCTGCCCCGTAGAGATGGTAATTAAATCCATAGGAGTTGATGAGATCACCAAGTGAAATAGTATAGAGGGGAAAAAGACAGGGCCCAGGACAGAACTCTAAGGGAAACCTGTGGTTAAAGGGTGTGGTCATGATGAGGATCCAGCAAAGGAGAAAGAGGAGTGGTCAGAGAGGCAGGAGAACCAGAAAGGAGAGATGGAGCCCTGAAAACCTTGAGAGAAGATAGTATCCAGGAGGAGAGAGTGACCAAGGCGTCCAAGGCTGTAGACAGGCCAAGGAACATGAGGCCTGAGAGAAGTCCATCAGATTGGGCAGCTGAGATCATCAGTCACTGTGGGGCAGACAGTTTCAGGGGAATGATAAGATTGGAAGCAGAAAGTGGAGGCATTGCCTTTTGGGAGAATTTAGGGCAGAAGGACCATAGGATCATATAGACCCATTGTCAGCGGGGATGGAGGGGTCTAGGGAGGGTCTTTGAGGATGGGGGAGAGTTGGGAATGTCTGCAGGCAGGAGAGAAGGAGCGAGTGGAGAGGGAGAGATTGAAAATAAGTGAGAGCGGGGGATGACGGCGGTGGGGGGTGCAGCCTGCTGGAGAGACAGGATGGAATGGAATCACTTGTGAGGGTGGAGGGGTCAAACTTGGTCAGGAGTAAGGCTACCTCATATTGTGAGACAGGGGTGAAGGGGGAGAGAGGGGCAGAAGGCACCTGAGAGACAGGAGATGAGAAGGAAGCCAGAAGAGGGCATTCATGAAGGATGGCCTCCATTTTTTCCTGTAAAATGTGAGGGTTAGTGTTCTCAGCTGAGAGAGTAAGGGTGGGAAGAGCCACAGGAGACTCGAGGGATGAGAAGGTCTGCAAGAGCCTCTGCGGAGGGTGCTGGGCAGAGAAGGATTGCCTGACAGCGGGGAGGGCCCAGTGGAGATTTCATAACATACATGGATAGTCACAACGGTGGCATGATATTTTCCACTTCTGCTCAGCAGCACGAGCGTAGGAGCAATAGTGGTGAATGGGAGCTACTGAAGACTGAGGCTTGGCTGGGTGTAATTGGCACTATAATACGGGGGCCAGGGATTCAAGACAGGAGGGCAGTGTAGAGTTGAACTGGTTCACCAAGGGGTCAAGATGGGGAGGCGAGGAGAGAGCACAGGGGAGATGAGAGCCGACGGTCACGGGAATGGAGGTCCCAACGCCGGTGAAGAATGGGATGAGGGTGAGGCCGAAAGCCAATGGATCGGGGTCAAAGAAGGGGATGTCACGCCCCAGCCCTTCCCATTCCTGGTTTTGACCCCATCGCTCAGTGGAAACTCTC